TAAGAGTAGAAGTACTCAGACACACACACACACACACACACACAACACAACACACACACACACACACACACACACACACACACACACACACACCTACACCTTTGTTTTTATTATTTTACTACTCTTATGTTGAACTTTGAAACTCTTTATCTGCAGAGCCGCCTTAGAAAAAGCAAATTCTCCTTCGTATGGAAATCGTCTCAAACATCGGGCGCTACGAGAACAATGGCCTCGAGTGAGAAAGGCAAACAACTCGTACCAGCCGTTCATGAAGATTACATTTTATTGTGTTCCTAGCATCTCATTGCTTTGTCCTTTTCCAGCTGAATATCAGAGTTACAGAGAGAACGTACGATCAGAAGACTCACACTTCATTTCAAAGAGATCAAGTAGTCCTGTCTCTTCATCCTCTTCCAAACTCTGTCACCCCGCTAAGGACGCTCAGCCAGGCGTATGTAGCTCAGCTAATTACCCCACTGAAAACACATTCTGTTCCACTTTATTAACGGCTGCGCACTCAGACCCTTGATTGGTTTCTTTCTGCCTGGTTTGATTGCTCACCTCCTAAATCTGGGTTACACATTAAAAACCAGCTTCGTTCCAGTAGATTTAATTGTTTTAATCTGTAAAGCCGTTGTGTCCTTGGGCAAGACACTTCACCTGAATTTGCACCTGTGGGTATTGTCCACAGTACATGACCGTTGCATGTATGATATGTGAGTAATGTGTATTTGTACAGCGCTTTGATCATCAGGAAAAGCGCTATATTAAATGTTATATTAGTTTTAAATTGTATTTTTTCCCCATTTATGGTGAAATTAACAGTTTAAACTCAATTTCTTAGTTAAAAAAGGCAACAAGCGGGAATTACTTACTCAGCGTTAAATTCCACACCAACACTATGTGCAATATAAATATCATTACAAACACTCTGCTATAAAACATGTGCAATATTATTATTAATAACGTGTAGTTACGTATCTGCCACTACGGTTCTTCACTACTAAATATTTACATGAAGGATGTGAGCGTCTAGTGTCCTGTAGATATCTAATTGCTCTTCTCTCTGTCAGTGTACAGTTTGATTATCACGCTGCTGTGTTTATGTATTTCTGTAACAACTATTTCCTTCTGGATAAATGAAGTCTTATCTAAATGAAAAACAGCGATGTACCTCTTTGTGCACTTTGGTCCGGCCTTTGATCTCGGCCACTATCATCCCCACGATGCCTCCTCTGAAGGTGGCCGCGAGGGAGAAGAACTTCTTGTTGGAGGTGATGTCCTGGTACCATGAGTCTGGGTACCTGAGGGCCAACAGACAGAGGCATTAGAGCAGGGGGGTCCAAACTACGGCCCGCAGCACATTCTAAAAGTATAATGAAGTATGGCCCACACCGGAAGCTTCTGCTTGTCTTGACTTCTTCCATTTATATATGTACACATATATGACACAGTATTCATTGTTGTTGTTATGTCAGTGTTAATATGCCCAATGTTCAAATAAATTCAGTGAATTAAAGTTGACAACAAATCTTAGTTATCTTAGCAGGGGGTGTCCAAACTACGGCCCGGGGGCCAAATGCGGCCGTGGCCCACTTTGAATCGGCCCTCAGCTAATTCTTAAAGGATAATGGAATACGGCCCACACATAAAACCTGAACTTCTCTTGTACTGTACTTCTTAAATACATCTGTAAACATATATTACTCAGTAGTGTTTATGTGTTAATAATCCCACTTTACAATAAATTCAGTCAATTACATTTGAAAATATGTTCTAACAAATCTAAGTGATAAGAAAAAAGCCCAACAACTTATTTACATAACAACCTTGAAATACACCCTTCATATTTCCTCTAATGAAACCCTCTGGAGAGCTGTGATGGGGGCTGTTTATTTTTTCTTGAAGTAGATTCAAGTAATACGAATAATTAACCTACATTTCAATCGATTTTGCTGACTTAACTTATGAGGCGATAAACCTCACCTCTAGTGAGGGGCCCAGCCCTTCGTATGGTTTTCTATGTGTGGCCCTGTATGAGGGATTGTGGGAAACGGAATTTCGATCTCTAAACATGGAGAAGTTCAGTCATTATTTATTCTAATTCCACAGGAAGACTAGGGGTAGAGGAATGTGAGAATCTGGTGAGGGATATTTTCAAATATCTGGAACAAACTCCCAGAAACCTGCCGGTCCGCTGAGACTCTGACTACTTTTAGATCCAGGCTGAAGACTTTTCTTTGCCACTGCTTTTAATTGAACTATTCACATCTTAGACTGCACTGTATCTACTTTTTCTTTTTATTATCTTTGCTTTTTAATGACTGTTTTTAAATGCCATTTTCTTAATGTCTTTCATTTTTGTAAAGCACTTTGAGTTGCCTTGAGTTGAAAGCTGCTGTATAAAGAAACGTGCCCGGCCTCTCTGTCTGTACACAAACTGAAAGATTGACAATAAAGTTGACTTTGACTAAATAAGAATGGCAAAATACGTAATTACTCAAAATCCTAATTCGCCGACAGCAGTAAAATATTAGATTATTGTTTGTAAAATTGTACTTTTGGTTCATTCTGTATGAATACTGCCAATAAAGCCGTAGCTAAAAAGTGTTTCCCCTGCACACTCTGTTGGGGATCTATTACACTTGAATTATAAAACAGGTGGATTTACAGCGTGGACAGCCTCAGACTGAGTCACTATTAAAACATGTTAGAAACCTCTGAGAGCGGCAGAGGAGGTCCCCCCTCTCACAGGACGGAGAGATGTATAAACTAAATGTCCCTTCAGAAAGCTGGAGAGAACGCAGCAAACCATGGTTTTATATTTCGGTAATGTTTCGTGTGGTTTCTGGGAAACAGCTATAAGATAAATGACTACATGTTTTTGGCAAGAACCCACTGACCCTAGAACTTGAGAATAAATAGAAAAAGATTCCTACTTCTAGAGGTAAGGGTAGCAGTTATTAAACACATGCCAAGGTATTGGTTAGAATATAATGGTAGTACATTCTAACCATGAGATATCTCTGATGAACGATGGGTTCATCAAAGCACACAGAACGCTTATAATGAACAGGTGAACGTATGAAAATGAAGGATCTTAGTGCCTTCATAAAATAGTAACGTGTCGTAGGAGGACCGCTCGTGTTCGTTTGCATATACAAACGTTGGAGGGAGATCTGATTAAAGGCTTCAAACTCCAGCCCTTCCAGGCGAGCGGAGGGTATAAATCCTTACTCGATCGGGAACCAGTCCCCACAGAGCAGCTTGACATTCTCTATGTCATCGTGGCAGAGGAAGCGTAGCTGGACTTCACTGAGAGCTGAGGGCGGCACAGCGTCACTCATTCACACCTGCAGGAGCACAGGTGAGGCAGACAGGACACACACCGTTAAGACATCAGGCTGAACAGAACTGGGTTAGGGTTAGGGTTCACCTTTCTGACCGGACAACCATCCCATAATTATTCTCTGTGAAACAAAGCTGTCTCTGACGCTCTGCTTGATACTCACATTTCCGGAGTCATTCTACCGTTTTTGAGGAACAGAAATATTGTTTTCTGGAATCACTTTAACATTTTACGTTTCATTTCTCCACATTGAGTTCAGGATTTTTACTCTCTCTCTTTCTCTCTTTCCAAATCCAGACCTTTACGACAACGCATTGGAGGATCTGTGAGCTGAGCTGATATCACACTCAAGACACTTCAACGTGAGTACCTTTTGGTTTACAGACATATTCAGAGGTGGGAGAAGTACTCAGGCCTTGTACTTGAGTAAAAGTAGAAGTACTCAGGTCTTGTACTTGAGTAAGAGTAGAAGTACTCAGGCCTTGTACTTGAGTAAAAGTAGAAGTACTCAGATCTTGTACTTGAGTACAAGTAGAAGTACTCTGATCTTGTACTTGAGTAAAAGTAGAAGTACTCAGGTCTTGTACTTGAGTAAAAGTAGAAGTACTCTGATCTTGTACTTGAGTAAAAGTAGAAGTACTCAGGTCTTGTGTTTGAGTAAAAGTAGAAGTACTCAGATCTTGTACTTGTGTAAAAGTAGAATTATTCAGATCTTGTACTTGAGTAAAAGTAGAAGTACTCACTTTAACATTTTAGGAGAAAATCTGTATTTTGGTTAGACAGAGAGAGACAGCTTTGTTTTTACGGAGAATAATTATGGGATGGTTGTCCGGTCAGAAAGGCCTGGGGACTCATTTCACTGCCGCACCACTCGAGCGGTTTATGAAAAGTTAATATTATACGGTATAAAGCTCACGAGTATTCTGTAACAAACGGTTAACCGCCCAGCACTACAAAATATAAGTACACATCCAAAAAAAAGATTAAAGTTTGAATTCTGAGGGTTTTTTATAAATAAAAAGGATCAGAATTGTGAGAAAAAAGTCAGAATTCAAATTCTTTTTTTTAAAACTTTTGCCCACATCCCTTATAATCCTCTTCTGTTACAATGCACATAAAAACAATATCTAACAAAAAGACACAAAGAGTCATTGATATTGGGTTACATTTAAAATGAACTCACAAATGTCTCCTTATATTTATCCGCTGTTTACACCTTTTACTAAATCAACAAGATGTTCCATCAACTATATAAAACAACAGCTAATCAGCAACCAGGCCAACCTTGTATTTGTACTCAGTATCTCACATTATTATATTTTGTGTAAATATTGTCTTATATGAGACGGTGTTAGCGAAGTCCATTGGGACTTGGCTTGGCAACTGGAAGGTCACCAGTTCCCGGCAAGACCAAGTGCTACCGAGGTGTCCCTGAGCAAGGCACCGTACATAATGGCATAATGGCAGGCAGCCCACTGCTCCTAACACTAGGATGGGTCAAATGCAGAGAAACCGTATCGTTTCTTCTACCTGTAGTATATAATGACAAAAAAAGTATTACAAAAAAGGATATATACATATTATATATATATTCTCTTATAGCTTTTATATTAATCTGAATTCCTTTCTTAGTAATAAACTAACATTATTACAGCAACAGGTGCATAGCAGGTAAAAAAGGCAAGCAATAATAAAAAAATAAAAAGAATAGTAAGAGGGATCTTTGAGAGATGTAGCTTTCCGTAAGTAAAACTCTATGTCATCGAATAACACGTTTTAGCAGTTCGAAAAAACCCAATAAAAACTGGATAAAATAGCTTTTATACTAAAGTACTATTGTTTAATGTGTTCTTCTTCCAGTGTCTTTATTTTCCCCATTTATAGCAAAGCAAAGGTCTCGTATGAGTAAAAATCTACTTGGTGATAACAGACTCGAAGTGGTATAATGTATTCACTTCATTCCGTATGTTCTTAATATTGTGTATTTAGATACTGCATGATAGTGGATTTGTAAATACTTGAAATACACTGCTGCCATATTTGGGATTAATAAAGTATCTATTTAGCAACCGGGCGACTCGACTCTTAAGAAACCCTACTCCCTCAGTCCCACATTATAACTGACAGTGAAGTATTATATCTGATATTTACAACAACAACAGTTCGTTAGCCACCGTTAGCTCCTGATGCTAAGCTAACACGTACCTTGTTTCAGCTCTCGGACCGGAGGAAAGTGAAGGAGAATGAAATCTCCCGAAGCCTCTGTCGACTCAGTCTCTACTCCGGAACCAGCATGATAAAACACCGCTTTATTCCCCGCTGTTTCATTATATCTGCCGATGCTACATGTGCTGATAAAAACTAGCTTCAAGATAACAGCTGGGTGTTTACTTCCGGGTTGTGGCTGCTGCGTGATGACATAAGGCGTTTTCTTCCTGTGGATAAAACGTGCTTTTTGTCGCCACCTACTGGGAAGAATAGAGAACAGGCTATGATATACAACACTAATCCTTAATATAATTTAAAATAAACTTTGAGTTTCAACATCTACTAGTAATCAGATCTTTTACTTGAGTAAAAGTAGAAGTACTCAGATATTGTACTTGAGTAAAAGTAGAAGTAGAAGCACTCAGATCTTGTACTTGAGTAAAAGTAGAAGTACTCAGATCTTGTAGTTGAGTAAAAGTAGAAGTACTCAGATCTTGTACTTGAGTAAAAGTAGAAGTACTCAGATCTTGTAGTTGAGTAAAAGTAGAAGTACTCAGATCTTGTACTTGAGTAAAAGTAGAAGTACTCAGATCTTGTACTTGAGTAAAAGTAGAAGTACTCAGATCTTGTTCTTGAGTAAAAGTAGAAGTACCAGAGTGTAGGAATACTCTGTTACAGTAAAAGTTCTGCATTCAAAATGTTCCTCAAGTGAAAGTAGAAAAGTATTCTCATCAAAATATAGTGAAAGTAGCGACAGTAAAAGTAGTCATTGTGCAGATTGGTCCATTTCAGAATAATATATATGATATGTTTTATAATGATTGATCATGAAAGTGTTCTCAAAGCTGGTAAAGGTGCAGCTAGTTTGAATGACTTTGTATACTGCAGGGTAGCTTGTGGATTTACTCCAGGTGGAACTAAAGTCTGATTTAACACTTGATTATATTTCACTTAATTAATCCAGATCTGTGAAGTAACTAAAGGTATTAGTATTAGAGTCAAAGTACCTCTGAACTGTAGTGGAGTAGAAGAACAAAGTAGCAAAACATTGAAATACTTAAATAAAGTACAAGTATCTCAAAATTGTGCCCAAGTATAGTACTTGTTGAGTTTATGAACTTAGTTAATTTACACCATGTGGCTATAAAGATAAAAAGACTTAAGACTTGCACAGAGGCACGAAAATAC